AGAGCTCAGGACACTGGGCCAAAACCTGCCTTGGGGGTAACTCTGATGAAGTTTATGGGGCTGCACAGGGGATTTCTTTGGCCCAGGGCCCCAGAGCCAAGTGACCCAGCAGCCCAGACTCATTCCATGGGGGAGCGGGCTGTTCCTTGGAGCACTCCCAGGGGATTCATCTCAGGCCTGATTTAAATTCCCGCAGGTTTGGGCCCTGGAGTGGGGAGGGAGGAGAGGGGGCATCGGAGTGAAGAACCAGCCCCCCAGAGACTTGGAGAAGCCTGTGAAGCTTTGGGTGATAACTTAACACTTACCTAATTGGTTTGGGGGCAACTCCTGCCCTTCCCACCACCACCACATACCTCACTGCAGCCCCTGTTCCTCCAGGTCTGCTCCCCTCCTTCCCTGCCTCCCTCCAAGCCCATCCTGACTCTTCTCTGTATCCAGGCTCCCCCTCCTTCCTGGCATTGGCAGCTTTCCAACTACCTCTATCGGGCTCAGAAAGCCCCCTGATGCTTCTCCTTCCTCCCTAGGGCCCATGACTCAATAGCCCCCCTCCTTCTTGGCCAATCCTCATTGAAGTCTTGGTAATTAGCCTCAAACACCGTGTGCTCTGCGACAGGCTGGGGTCAGAGGCCTCTCCATGTGCATCTTGCCCCCACAGCCTCTGGGAATCCCCAGACAGTGAGACATGCAGATGGCGACTGGGTCAGAGCCAGCCAAGCCTACACTGGCTCTGCAGGGTCTCAGTACAATAGTGATGGGCAGAAAGGCTGGAGAAGCCAGTCACAGTCCCAGGGTCTGTCCCTGGCCCAGTTGGAGCCCAGGATCCCAGGGCTGACCCACCTTCCGAACAACCCCTCTGCTCTCATAGAAGGCAATGACTGGCTCCGTAGCTTTGTAGTAGGTCTCCAGGCGCATCTTAATCGTCTCCTCATTGTCATCTGCCCGACCGCTGGTCTCCCCCCGCTTCAGCAGGCGCTTGACCATGGTGTCTTTCCCAGCGTCCACATACAGCAACAGTGTTGGGGGCCCGATCTGTGGGGCAGAGGAAGGTTGGCCACCAATCTGTCCAGCCAGGGGTCCTGCAGCACAGGGACTTGAGGGCAGCTGCAGCCTGGGCCTGGAGCCATCCCTTCATCACTCCAACCTAGATGGTGGCCAAAGGGGGACTCTGGGACCTGGGCACTGTCTGGCTTAGGGACAAAGAACAGTGGATAACTAGGGCCTGAGCTATTGAGATATCCCCCTCCCCAACTAAGACAGCAAGGGAGAGTGGGGCTGGAGCAGTTGTCCTATCAATCTGACTCAGTGAGCAGCAAAAATGGAGGTGTGACCCTGACTGCACCAATAGATATTCACACCAGCCACTCCTAAGCAAAGAGACAGGGAATTTGGGGCTTCCCGTGCCCCTGGCCAGCTGCCATTCCTGAGCGCGCTGTTGCATGTGTGATGGGGGGACATTCCAATGGAGCTGACTTCTTTTACACATGCTTGTTGACCCCTGGCTGCTTCCCACCCTGCCTGATGGGTTTCACCCTGCCACATCCTTCCCGGAGCCTGGTAAAAAAGACCATCTTGGATTGTTTTTGCAGCTGTGACTCTACAGAGCAGCCACAGCGCCGCCATGTGCCAGTCCTGTGCGTTTCAGAAGGGATCCTTCACCACCTTCCCATCAGGGTTTCCGCCCCAGACTTTACAGGCCGGCACTAACAAGGTTACAATTTTCCTAGGGCAAATTATGAGACCTGCCTCCGAGTTCAGACTCCCGGACAGTTCATGGAACAGCTGGCCACACTCTAACCTGATTACTGACACCCGAGTGTATGAACTCTCACTGCAAACACCTCCCAGTGATAGGCTGAAAGGACTCAGTGCAAACCCCTGTATGGTGGAGCAGGACAGTTGTTTAGGAGTTCAAGACAATGCTATCCTGGCAGTTTGGGAGAGGATGCAGGGAAGACTCTGGCATCCAGCTGAAACAGAGGAGTGAGTAATTCAGGAAGGCGAGAGTCAACAGCAGATCCTTCTCCACCTCAGCCTTAAGACAATGCTGATGTCATGCCATGGCATGCCCTCAGCTTCTCCCGGGGAGATGCCATCTTCCTAACGAGCCACCCCCAAATCTGAGCCTTCCAGGATTGACTTTTCAGCCTCCCACACAGCTACAGAGCAAGCCCTAGCCTGCCCAGCCTGTGATTGCTGCCAAGACTGCAGCAGGTGCTCTCTGGAGCGGCAGTGGAGGGCAAGGGGGTGTAACTGCTCCCACTGCTGCCGGCACAAGCTGCTTGTAGCTGCCCTGTGGATCACGTTCCCTTGCTGAGCCATAGGCAGCCCTGCTCTCCTCCCACATGGCTCCTGTTCTCAGTGTAAAGGCTGTGTGCTGCCAGAGAGCGTGTGGGAAGGCTCACCGCCCTCTTAAGAGTGCCAAAGGTCCCGGAACTCCCTGCCTCACCTTCTTCTCGAACTCCTCGCCTTGCTTCACCTCTCGAGGATAGCCGTCAATCAGGAACCCTTTCGAAACATCTGCCTTGGCCACCATGGCATCCCTCAGCATATCGAGCACTGTGTCCTGAGGGCAGAGGGAAATGCTGGCATTCAGGGCAGGGCTGGGGACAGCGCTTCCCATTCCAGTCTCACCACAGCTTTGCACCATCCCCCACAGCTTCCAGGCTCCCCTTCTCAAAGCCGCAGTGGCAGCAGGGCTCAGCCAAGTCATTTCACAGGATCCAGGGGTTGTGCGTAGCGCTCTGCTGCTTCACTGCGGCAGGCACCATGAGAGGAAGGAGAAGAGATTCTTTCATCCACCTGGGCCTTTATACTGTGCCTGTCACCCTGGCATCCGGTCACCTCCGCTCAGAGGTGGATCTTCCCTTGCGTTCTACCCTAACCTGCCCTACTTCCCAGCTACCAGGACCTACTAGTCTCCTGGGAAGCAAGTTTCCTAAGCTACTCTCTGGGATCTGGGAAAGAGGGGCTCTACTAACATCCCCACAAACTAGCCTGCCAGTCTTAGATATCCACAATGCACTGCACTCACCAGAAGAGAGGTCCTGCTGTGGCCTCTGAACTGGGCTCTCTCATACAGAGGCACAGGTATACTGGGAACCTCCAAGCTACTGTATTTAAGAGCCTGTACTCACCAGGGGCACCAACTCTCCTTTCTCCATGATGGCTGAAAGCTTCTTCCCTCTCTCAGAGCCGGAGCCAACCTCTGCCCTCAGCAGGTCCCCGGTGGACAGGTGGGTGTACCCATACTTCTCGACAATCTTTTCGCATTGGGTCCCTTTTCCTGAGCCGGGCCCACCTGGAATTCATATGAGGGCAACAGATGCATAAGCAAGATGAAACTGGAGGAAAAAGAGCCCTGATACCTCCTAGGAAAAATCCCCACTGAGAGCTGTAATCCCCAGGGATACCTAGGAGGGGTCAAGAGAGTCTACTAGACCAGTGTTTCTCAACCTTTTAAGTAGAAAGTACCCTCTAACTTCTTAAAATTTTAATAAGTAACCCAACACTCAATTTTCCAGGGGATTTTATATTTACAGACTAATGTGTACCATATGTTGCAAGAAGGGTTGTGTATATAAGGCTGTGATAAGACAGATGTCTGATCTGGTGTGGGTATGGTTGCCATCTTTTACACCAGGGGTGCACAACTCAAGTATGTACCTGGGCCAGAGGTGATGTGGCTCAAAGCTAGAAGGGCTGAACCCAGTGCTGTGCAATGCCTGGCACACCAAATTATCACTGGGGTATTTAAAGCACTGGGCAATGCGCTGCGCACCAAATTTTTTGCCATAGTTTTGAGAGGAAAAGAGGGTGAAAGAGAGAGAGAGACAAAAAGAGGGCAAGAGAGAGAGAGGGTTGGGGTACCTGCATACCCCCAGAGGTACACGTACCACCGGTTGAGAAACTATGTATTAGACTGCCCACTGCCCCCAGGGATGAAAGGCAGGGAAGTACAGATCCGTGCAGGGCCCCCCAGGTTGCAGCGAAGTCTGCTTATCCCCCACAGTGTCAGTGTGCCCTCAGCTGACATCTTCCTTTGGTGTCCCCCAACCTCTGCTACCAACTCTAATTTAGCCCACGCTGGTAATAACAGAAAGGTATTTGATGCAGCAAAGAGGGGAGAAAACTGTAATGCGCACAGCAGCCGGTGCTTGTGGGCACTTTGCCAGACAGTCACAGCTGAAAGATGCCAGGGATTAAAAGGGCTCCCTCCAGGTGAGGCATGAGGCACATGGGTGGCACGCGGGCAGAGCTCTTGCCTTGCTGCACCCTACTGATGGATTACGAGAGGCCCTCCGTCTCCAGATGCCTTTTGCAGGTACGTGTAAGAGCCCTCCCCGCCTGCCAGGCCATCTTGATGCAGTGCCAGCCTCCTCTCTAGGTGCACTCTAAGGATTTGCGCCTGTCCTGTTTTAAATGATGGACACGACTTCCCTTGAGAGGCCAAAGCCAGCGTTTGCAGATGAGCCCCTTGATTTTTGGAGCCCAACCTGAGACAGCTGGGAAGAGCCTTGACTGCCCGAAAGTGCTGAGCACCTGCCCTCTGAAACCTCTGTGAGCTCCTGCATGGCACCTCAGGTCAGACCTCGGAAATCACTGCCCTCCCCGGAGAGCTTGGCTGAAAACCCTACGTTGGTCCCAGCAGACACAACCTGGCCTCACACACCTCCACAGCCACCCTGCCCCTAAGGACTTCCCAGATCTTTCTGAGATCCAAGTGCCAACTTACCTACCACGAAGATGATCTTGTGGTTCTTCAATTTTTCTATGGGAGAAGGGGAAAAATAAAGCAGAGAGTCAGTCTGAGGGAGATCACAGGAAGCAGACAGTCAGCTGGGATGGCTTGCTCTTTTTGAGGCCCTCCTAAGGGAACCGGCCATGGCTGCCTGGAAATGGAGCAGACTTGGCAAGAAAACCCAGTTCCCGAGGGCTGAATCTGAGCGGAAAAGCAGCCGTGTGGCTGGCAGCAGCCTGGTGAGCCCTTGTGGGGTTGCTCTCCCCCAGGTACCTTTGCTGGCCTGCTCCAGCGAGTGGGGCACACACGAGCACGATGCCCCCATGTCTCCGTTCCTGGCTCCAGCACGCCTTCCCCACCTCCCCGCTGGCGGAGCTGTTTCCGCTCAGCACATGTTGATTCCTGAGCCAGTGGCGTCCTTGTGCGGCCAGGCTGGAATCTTGTGGTTGGAGCTCCCTGTGCACTGCTATGGAGACGGTTGCTATGACACGCTTGGAGCCAAGCCACAGCCGCTTCATAAAAGCCAAGAGATCAGGATTCTGATCTCAGCTCCTCCGGGGCCAAATCCAGAGTGACTCCCCAGGGGCCAGCACGAATGGGGCCAGAAACCAGTGCTACAGCAGACCTACTTGTGGAAGTGTCTTCATTCAGCACCCCCCGCTCCCCAGCCGCGGACTGCAGTACCCTTCATCTCCCAGCTCCCCAAACCTGGCACTAATGCTGCTGCCTGCTCGGGGCCATTCCTGGTACTGGACCAGGAGGAAAGT